TGGGTTTCCTACCTTTCAGCATTTCTATCACCTGTGTAACAGTTCCCTGTATTAAATTCTCTAGAGTGACCAGATGCAGCTGATACATTTCAACCAAACCAAACTATACAGTTGATGTTGCGTGTTTTGTCAGTCAACAATACCAAGTTCTATGCACATCAACTGTGCCAGATACAGTGAATTTTTACCATTCATGTCTTCATTCATATGGTTAACTCCACTTAGTATATTTTCCTTGCCTCCATCACACCCAGCAAAACACTGCTGACTTCAAGCCTATTCAGAAACCAGTATTTTGAGCATCTACTCTGTGCGAATCCCTGTGCTAGGTGCCGGGGGTGCCCAGAGAATAGGATTGTCCCAGGCATCACAGAGCTGACCGTATACATTTCTTCATACAGTGTTTTTTCACATTTTCTCCACGGATGCGTATACTCTTGAAATTCCCATTTGACTGTGCTTGTTTTTTTGTTTGTATTTAACAAACACCTATATAGCACTGAGAGCCAGGCACTGTTCTAAGGACTTACAAATACAACTTATTTTTATTTACGTGCACACATATAAAATATATGTATACAATAATTTAGGTAACCTTAGGTAAACCTATGAGATAGGTGCTACTCTTATCCTCATTTTATAAGTGAAGACACTGAGGCACAGAGAGGTTAAGTTACCTGCCTAAGGTCACAGAGCTAAGAAGAACTCTTTTTGTCATACTTTTATTTTAGCCTTGCATTATACTATTTGCATACCTGTTTCAGCATCACCAGCAGGAACTGATGAGCTTTCCCCCTTTCTTTTACAGTTAGGGAACACATGAGTTTTAGCTGAGAATGTGGCCACCTGGGGAAATAAAGCTATGATTCCCACCTTTCCATAGGATACGAGTGAAAGTGGTATGTGCAACTTCTGAAAATTGTCCTTCAAAGAAGAGTGAGCTTGGGGTGGGGCTCAGTCCCTTTCTCTTCTCCCACTCACTAGTATGTTGACCTGATGGCTGGGGCATAAGCAATCATCCTGGAACATGAGGTGGGAGCTGCATTTTCAAGAAGAAAGAATAAGGACCTGGATCTCATGATCAAGTAGCTGCCATTTCCTGGACTTTCACATGGAGAGAATAGAAACTTCTGTCTTGCCAAATTCAGTGTTATTTTGAGTTTCCTGTCACTAATAGCCAACGACAAGCCTAATTAATGATATCACCAATCAATGGCTCTCTGTCCGTCCCTAGAATGCACTCTTAAGAAAATGCAGTTGATCTCACTCATCTTTGTATTTCCTTCCAACATGGTTCCTTGCACAAAGTCAGTACTCAAAAAACAGATATCGAATTGAAGGTGAATGAGGTTATAAAATATTTTTTAAATGCTGATAGATGTAGGAAGCCTCAGGTCAAAAGGAAGCTGTAATGAAACCACTCCTGGCCACTGGTCTTTAGAGTCTGTATTGACCATAGCAGCAATAAGACGGGAGTGTCTCCACCCTTTGGGACAGCTCCCCATTTGTCAGTACCTTCCTGGAGTCCTGGGTGTGTGAGGCAGAGCTGTAGAAGAAATCACCACCAAGTAAACATGTCTTCAAACATGAGCACCAGCGTTTTCCCTTCTCCTCCGGCTTCATGCTTTTATCTCTGCGGTCTTCCTACTTACCCCACAAAGAGCAGGCATTGTTTCCATCATTCCTAGGCTAATCCTTTTACCTTAACTCCTCGAACATCTGCATCATAATTTTTTCATCTGTATAATGAGGGTACTTCACATTTCTTAGGATTTGGAAGGTAATTAAATGGCAAGTGCTAAAGTTGCTGGCATAAAGCAGGTGTTTAGAAAAATGTGAGGGCCGGCCGAGTGGCGCGATGTTTGAGAGCTGGCTTGGGATGCCAGAAGGCCCTGGTTCGGATCCCACATGTGAGGGCCAGTGACATTGCCCTCTACCAAAGAAAAAAAAAAAAGAAAAATGTGAGATGTTTCCATTTTCCTGACACCCTTCTCTGGAGCAAACCTGCTCCATTGGCTCTTGGAGGTAAGTAACACTTGCTCCCGGTTTTCTTCTTCTCTGGCTACCCTCTTGGTCTCTTTGAAGACATTCTTTGCCTTTCCTTCAAACATCTGTGCTCTGGGTTTCTGCCCTCAACTGTCATCTCTTCTCACTACACTCTCCCTGCATGATCTCCTCTGTCCAGAGTTTTAAGTCCCACCTGTAGGATAACGAATTTCAAGTCTCAAGCCTACATCGGTCTCCTGAGCTTCAGACCTCTTCTTTTCCTTCACCCTCTTACTACAGACTTACCTTCCTTTAATTCTTTCACTCAATAAATATTTATTAAGAGCTTGCTATATGCTTGTCATTGCAGATCCAACCACCAAATACCTCTCCTCAAAGGATATTCCACAGAGACCTCAAACTCAACACATGCAAATCTGTACTTAGCTTTACCCCAAACCCACTTCTCTCTCCTTCTTGTCTCAGTGACTATTTTAGCATCCACCTACCTATCTGCCCTAATTAGAAATGGGAGGCTTTTCTGACTGTTCCCTCCCTCTCTATATATCCCTAATTCATCAAGTCCCATCAATTCAGCTTCTCTTGATCTCTCTCCAATCTGTACACTTATCCTCCCCAAACCACCTCCCTTGTTCCAGCCCTCATAATTTTCTTACCTAGATGACTCCAACTGCCCTGAATTAGTATTCTGGCCTCTGGTCTTGTGCTTTTCCAGCCGGGATCCACACTGCAGCCAGAGGAGTGATACAAGACACATCTAATCACACTGCTTCCCACCTAAAAGTTACTCAGTGGATTTCCATTAGGGTGAAGTCCACACATCATAGTATACCAGACTTCAGGACACAGTGCCTGCTGGAATCACTCTGTAAAGAGACACCTTGTTCACATGCTTCTCCATTCTTAGAAGGAGGAGCTACTGATGGGTATATTTATGGCTGAGATCCAGCGTATAGTACAGTATAAGAGGATCAATAAATGTTTTGTTAAATCAAGTTAGGAAAATCCTTAATGGATAAGCAGTATCAGGGCTGCCTATGTGCAAGTGATCTAACAAAAGGCACAAAATACTTTTTTTTTCCTTATCAGCATTACAGTTTTCTTCCTTTAGCTTTTTAAAAACTAACTTTTTTATTAAAGAAGAAGGTAGGCTTATTATGAAAAAGACTCCAACATTACAAAGAGGTATACAGTAACAAAGGAGGCCCCACCCTTCATACCACTGTCCCTCCTGCCCCAGCACTGTTAACTGTATCTTTCCAGAAATTTCCAATGCACACACAATTACAGTAATACAAGTTATTACTACTAATATTAGCATTATTTAACAAATGGAATCATATTAAACATTTATTTGCATATCAGCCTTTTTCATTAATTTTGGACATTTTTCCGCAATATTATTATAGATCTTCCTCATTTTTTAAAGGTCTGCAGTGTCCTCAATTATATGAATCTACCACACTGTCTTCAAACAGATCATTAATTGGTCGGCATCTATGTTATTTCCAGTTAGGGGCATTCTAAACAATGCTGCATTTATGGTAGGTAATTAAATGTTAAACTTTTGAAATATGCAAAAATTGCAAAATGTTAGAATATTACAATAAATATACAACACAACTAAAGGATTCACTTCAGGAATATAAGAAGAGTTAGAAAATATGTTAATATATTGCACAATATTAATAGATCAACGGAGAAAAATCTCCATAGATTACTGACAAATAGGGATAGATATTCGCTTAATTTTATAAATGTGTGTATGTGCACACGTGTGTATGCCCACACCAAAAGCTACCATGATGCTTAGTGAAGAAACATTCCCATAAGGTCAGGAACAGGAAAAGTTAGCTCACTGTCGCCATTTTCATGAAAAACTAACATCTGGAGGTATTAGCTGATGCTATTACAAGAGAAACAATATGAGGCATAAAAATTAGAAAGGAGAAGGTAAAATTATCATTCAGCCTACCTTGAAAATATATTTGCAGAACACAACTTAACTGAAAAACGATCTTTTTAAAAACTGAGATATAATTCACATACCATACAATCACCCCTTTAAAAAGTACACAATTCAGTGGGTTTATATATGTTCAGAGTTGTGCAATTATCACCACTAGTTCCAGAACATTTCATTACACATACACACACACCCGGCCCCAGCAAAACCCCATACCCATTAGTAGTCATTTCACATTTCCCTTACTCCCAGTACCTGGCAACCACTAATTTACTTCCTGTGCCTATAGACTTGCCAGTTTTGGATATTTAATATACAGTTCACCTTTGAATAACAAAGGTTTAAACTGCGTGGGTCCACTTATACACAGATTTTTTCAATACCTGTAACTTTGGGAGTCTATTGATGTGGAGGGACGACTGTATGCACCAATCTACACCATTTTATATAGGGGATTTGAGCATCCACGGAGTTTGGTCCCGCGAGTTTTGGGGGATCAAAAGTCATTCACGGATTTTCGACTGTGCCCCTAACCCCTGCATTGTTCAAGGGTCAACTGTAAATGGAATCATACAATATGTGGTCTTCTGTGACTGGCTCCTTTTACAAGGAGAACACTGGCATAATGTTTTCAAGGTTTTTTCCATGTTGCAACATGAATCAGTACTTCATTCTTTTTTATTGCTGAATAATATAACATTCCATTATATGAATATCCCACATTTTGTTTGCCCATTCATCCGCTGATGTATATTTGGGTTGTTTCCACATTTTGACTATTAAGAATAATACTGCTATGAACAATGATATACAAGTGTGAACATACATTTTCAATTCTTTTGGGTATATAACTATGAACGGAATTGCTGGGTCATATGGTAACTATTTTTAACTTTTTGAGAAAAAACTGTTTTCCAAAGTGACTGTACCATTTTACATTTCCACTGGCAATGTATGAGGGTTCCAATTTCTCCACATCGTTGCCAATACTTGTTATTGTCATTTTTTTATTATAGCCATCCTAATGGGTATGAAGTAGTATCTCATTATGATTTTGAACTGAAAAACTATTTTAAATGCTGGATAGTTCAATAAGTTGATTGGATATAAATTATTTAATGTACCAAAAGCCTTCGTGTACACAAACCATAACCTGTTAGAAAATATAATGAAACAAATGATCCAAACCAAAAAAATTAACAAAGTTTATTTAAAAGTCAAAATATATATAAAGAAAACTTTAACACACTCCTGAAGAGCACAGAAGAAGGGCTGAGCAAATGGAAAGGAATAGGCAATCTTAAAAACAAAAAAAAAATTTCCCCTGCTACTCATAAATGGGAAAACTCAACATCATAATTAGTTCAGTTCTCCCTATATTAATCTATAAATAACATGACTACAACACAAATACTACCTAATATTAGAGCCAGACTAGCTGTAACTATAACTCATATGAAAAGACAATACAGAATTATGGTTTTATCCACAGATCCAGCCTTCCTGGGTGTTCATCCTGGTATGCTGCTTATTATTAGGTTGGACAAGTTACTTAATTCCCTGCATCTCAGATGCCTCTTCTATGAAAAGGGATAATAATATCTACCTGGTAGGGTTGTCAGAGGATTAAATGCATTAAAATGCATAATGCACTTAGAATAGTACCTGGTATATAACAAATGTTAAATAAGTGCTAATTATCAACATTATGTGGGAAAAATAAATCAAGAATAGGTAAAAAAAAAAAGTCTTTAAAAAAGTTATGAAAGAGGACTGGCCCTACTAGAATATTAAAATAGCACAATTCTGGTGAATCAGAATTAAGACAGATCAATGGAATAGAAGAGATGATACAGAAACCCAAATGCATATGAGAATTTAGAAAATGATAAAGGAAGCATTTCAAATTAGTGTAGAAAAGGAGGAGCATTCATTATGAGCGATTCTTGGACAAAATTCCCACTTCACTTCTTATACAAAAATAAATTCCAGATGAGGTAAAGATTTAGGTAGAAAAATAAAACCATAAAAGCACTAAAATAAAACACGATGAAATTATTTAATAATCTGAGTGCAATATAACCCCAAACCTAGAAGCCATCAAAGAAGACTGATAAATCCAAATATATGAATTTCTGTAAGACAAAAAATAAGACACCATAAACAAAATCAAAAGACAAATAACCCGGAAAGGAATAATTATAACACATATCACAAAGGGTTGGTTTCCTTAATATGCAGAGATCTCGCACGAACCAGAAAGAAAATGACCAATGATGCAAAAGAAAAATGAGCAACTCTGGAACAAGTAAATCACAAAAAGTAAATACAAATTAATCCACATATGAAAAGATGTTCAGCTTCACTCGTAATGAAGACATGAATTGAAACTACAACTAGAAATCTGTTTTCACCTGTTTGATAACATGTGGGCTATAGGGAAATAGGTACTCTTCACACATTGCTGGTGAGAGTAAAATGGATACAGTCTCTATGAGAGCAATTTGGCAATGTCTGTCAAAGAATGCACAAACAAACCTTTGGCCTAGCAATTCAACTTCCTAGAAATTTATCCTACGTATATATTTGCACTTGTGTACAATAATGTAAGCGCGAGGATGTTCACTGAAGCATTGTTTGTAATAGGAAAATATTGTATACGTAAATGTCCAACTATTGGGGGCTGTTAAGTCATTATGCTACATATGTACAATAGAACAAGGCAGCTCTACCTGCCTTAAGTGAAAGAGCAAGTATAGCATACTACCAATTCTATATGACCTATGTCACTAACATCAATAAACATATAGCGAGAAAAAATAAAAATGCTGAGATGTGCATAAAATCTGACCATATTTCCAAGAAATCCTTTTCACTAATGGCTTATAGAGAGAATTGCAAGCCTGGAGTATGGGGAACAAGGATGTTTACTTTTTTGACAATTTTAGATTTTGTATTTTTTTGCATGAAATTAAGCTTGTTTGTTACAATGAATGTTTAAAATTCCATTCATTCATGAATTTATTTGCATTTAGTGATATGGAACCGTCATCTTGTCCAAAGCTTTCAGTTGTCTGGAGAAGACGTATATAAGATGTTCATCTTTCCCTGGAGGAGCTGGCATAGTGGACTGCTGACCTCTGCACTGCCATCATGGGGGAGGGGAGCGGAGCGGACATTCATATCGGAAAGAGATATTTCTGGGCCCCACCCTGATCGATCGAATTAGAGTCCCGGAGTAAAGCCCAGGAGTCTGCATTCCTGAGAGGATCCCACTGGGATTCAGGTAGGTGACAATTTTGAAGCCTTCTTGGGGGGAGGGGCAGTCAGCCCGCGCAGCACAGGGTGCAGGTGCGTTTTGCCGTCCTTTCCTCGCTCCTCCCTAGGAGCCACCGTCGCGCTCGGGCGAGGGGGTGTCACCCCTGGGGCGTGGGGGCAGCTCTCCCGCAACACCCGAGACCCAGGCCTCCCCGCGCTCTCCTTTGAGCCAAAACCGCGAGGCCTCGCTCGGTCGCCGCCCGGTGCCGCTCTTCCCAGTACACGGATCAGGGTCCTAGTCGGTTGGGCCCAGACCCTAAGCCACCGACCCGGGGCTGCTGGGAGGTTGGGGGGCAGGCGCAGGACCCACGCGATTGACTATAGTTGGAAGGACCGCCGAAGCCCAAAGCAGAGGGGAAAGAGAAAGGGAACGGGAAGCGAGTTAAACCGTCTAGGAAAAGGAGAACAAACGGAGAAATGATAGGGGTAGAAAAGTTATAGGAGTAAAAACCACTACGACTCCGCCGGGACTCGAACCCGGAACCTTTGAATGCCTTCAGCCTCTAGAAGTCCAATGCGCTATCCATTGCGCCACGGAGCCACCTGTTGGAGTTTTTGCGCATTTGCTATATTAAGCCAGAGGCGACGGCCCGGCGCCCTTCCAACCGCCCCGAGAGAGCTAGCTCACGGCAGCGGCCACCCAAGTGTCAGCCGCAAGCCTCGTCTTTCCACGGCGACTGTCTTTCAACTAGGTCAGCGAGCCCCGCGAGCGAAGGGAGTCCGCGAGTGCGCCGCGTCCCGGCAGGTCTGTCTGAGGGCAGCCTCAGCCTGGCCTCCGACCCGCCCAAGCCGCCGTACCCAGCAGCGCAGGACAAATCACGCCCGAGCTCTCCCTTCCCTGCTCCCTTCCTGCCCGAGAGCCCCGCCTACCGGGACTCCCCGGCCCCGGCGATGCAGGCCCAAGGTCGGCCGTTGCGCCGTTAAGCCGGGCCGGTAACGCCGGGCACTTACGTCGCACCTTTTAGCGGCCGATCGCGAGCGGCGGCCCCTGGTGGATCCCGGGCTCTTCCCTGGTCGCCCGTGGCCGAGACCCGCCGCTGCGAGCGCGGGCCGCGGCGACGTCTGTGTGAGTGCTTGTGCGTGTTTATTTGCGCGGGGTTCGGTAAAAAACGGGGTTTGGGTTGCATTTCGCTCCCCACAGACCCAGAGCCGAATTTCTGAGGCATCCGGGCTCTGGTGGACTGAGGGGGGCGACGCGCCCCGCACCGCAGCATCCTCCGAAAGCTCGTCCAAGCGTCGGCAGCAGCTCCAAGCCCGGCTTCCGGAGCACACGGCTGCGTGGGCGGCCGCCGTGAGGGTGACTGCGCGCGTGGGGGCGCCGGGAGCATGCGTGGGCGGGCGCGGGCTGGCGCGGGATTTCTCGGGGGTGGCTGACTGCGGAGCCAAAGGCTGCTCAGAATAGTGCGGTCGCCTCGAATCAGGGGAGTCATTTCGGAAGGATGGGGGTGGGGGTTTCTGAATGCTCCAGTAATCCTCATCAGTACAACCCCAAAGCCCCAGGAAATAGACACTCTAAATAAAAACCGCGTGGTTGCTATGCAACCACCTCTGCAAGGCAAAACCCCTGGCCTCCGGCTCCAATCAGTCTGCCGTTTTCCAAGCCCCGCCTGCGTAGAAATTGGCTGAGCGAGGACTTGGCGCATTCTTCAGTCGGGTCCACAGCCGGCTTCTGCATCCAACCAGCATAAGCCACAGCCCACTCTGTGGTCCACGGTATTCCTCCCTGCCCAGCATGTCCAGGCCTCAAAGCAAAGTAGTCTCCGTCAGTGTTCTAAAGAGGGCAAGGGGGCTCCCAGGAAGATTCTAGTGCGGTAGGTATGTTTGTATTCTTATTTAATTTAACCCACAACAATAGTATGAGCAGGTACTATTGTCTCCTTTATAAAGAAGGGAAACTGAGGTTAAAAGAGATTAAATGGATTGTGTAGGGCTAACTAGTAAGTGTCAAGCACTGTGAAGAATCTGAGATTTTACCCTCTTTGCAGGCTAACATGTCAAGCTTGTCACGGTTTCATGGATGCTGACAGAACACACAAGACTACTGGATCAGAGATGAAAGACTATTATTACAGTAAAACCTGTAGCCAGAGTGTCAGCATGTTTGTGTTGGTTCCCTGAACCCCAGTTCTCAGGAAAATGAAGCAGATGGGCCCAGATATATGCTTGCACATAAGGTTGCATTACAGGAGAGAAATGCTGAGCTTGGGGAACCCACCATTTTACAGCAAGCAGTAAGCAAGCTTGCCCTGTGTCCCATAGGGAGACATTTCCTCATCTCTCAAGGTTGCTCACTGCAAGAATTTGCAAGAATGGGAGAGGCCGGTGGGATTGTCTCTCCAAACAGTAAGTGACAGGGTCCTAATTGCTGCCAGGCCTGTCTGTTTCATTTCACTATTATATACATAAAGTTCCTTGACAACATGCATTTTATGTTTAACATTGTTTTGTCCCTTTTAAGGTTAAGAAAATAAAACTCATGTCTTCCCATGCATGGAGGAATTGTCACATGTACAAAATTAGCCCTTAAAATAGGATATGACTTTAGATCATATTTATTTTAAAAATTTCTATTGAACTCTGCAATGTGCCAGGCACTGGTGACATCTCAGAGTCTTCACTGGTCCTTGGAATTGCACATGGCAGAACAGGGAAAAAGAAATGCTCAGTGCCCCTGTAGGAATACCATATGGAGGAATTCTGCCTGGGGACATTGGAGCCAACTCTCCAATGATGAATCACTGATGTGAGTAAGTAACAATTCAGAACCATATAAAAGTTTTGGGAAGCGGAATTGGGGAAAGAGAACTTGTGCTAAGGAAAGATATATGTGTCCTTAATGCCACTTAGTGAATCAAACAAAAAATTTTAGATATTTGATTCCTATCACTAGTTGAGACCAAACAAACCCCTTGTCTGTGTCATGGAAAACATTACCAAGATACATGGTCAGCAGACAGTGTGGGAAAACCAGGTTTGTGTGATGAACTCGGTGAGCAATCAAGGTTGTACTTTTTACGCCCTACAATTAGAAGATTGGGAAAGCCATAGCAGACAAAGGCTGCATGTATTCTCTGACAATAAGTGGCTTTTAGTGACTCTGGCTTCAGAGGCAGCAATGTTAGCATGTAAGAAGAATGAAAATGTGTATTTAGTTGCCCTCTGAGGAGAAGGGTCCAGTAGGTTTTGTCTTTCCCTTTGCTAAACCTGAGGGCTGAATTTTCTCAGGCAATTCATACAGTAAACAGCAGCCATTATACAACCTGAACCAGTTTCTGCAAGTAGAAAAATGACCTCTTCCTTCCTGCCAACAGAGGGCGCCAAAGCATGGTCTGTAACCACCTCTGAGCAGGCTGATCGCCCAGCTGCAGTTTGAGTTCCCTGGACAGCAAAACCGTAAATTAAAAACTTCATTTTGGTGTTTTAAAGTTCAAACCCATTATACGCCTCTGGGCGTCTGCAATAACACTTTTCATGTTTGTACAGCAGAATTATTTTTAAATCACTGTGTTTTTCTATTTGCAGTGCTTAGAAGCAGCTTCAGCTTTCCCCAAGAGGTCTAGAAATCTATATTGTTATATATTTTCACTAGCTTTGCTTTGTTCCAGAGGGAGAAGGTAGTTGGGATACCAGTTTAATTCGGTTCAGTAAGTATTTAGGGAGAATACAGCTGGGCCTACTGTAGGTGATAGAGTGGAAGCTTAAGACACAATTTAAGGAAACTTCAACTTCCTTGGGAGAAGTCTGACCTATGAATATGAAACAGTAAGCAAATAATGCACTATAGCATATGAAAAAGTGGCAAAATGTGATTGGACAACCCTACCAGTAAAATGGTTTTGAGTTTACACCCCCAAATAATAAGCAGTTACTACTATACTCGTTATAAAACATACCCCCAAAAGAAATTTGAAAAAGGTGCGATTTTTAAAAAACAGAGACTCGGGTAGTAGAGGTCAGGAGCACAGGCTGTGGAGTCAGCTCCTGGTGTTCACATCATGGCTCTGTCTCTTATTTGCAAGACATGAGCCTTAACTTTTCAGAGCCTTCTTTCCCTCATCTGAAAAATCCTAAAGTTGTAAGGATTCCAGGAATTAATTCTCGCAAAGTTTTATCTCAGTCCCGGCATATGGTAAGTGTGTGACAACTTTTTGCTGTTGTTATTAGCAAGCCAATACTCAATAAAGAAATACCACATCCTGCAGGAACAAACCACAATTCAAATAATAGCATCTGCTAAATTTATGGCAATCCAAGAAGCATTCTCCACCTCCCTATCCCATCCTACTCGACTACAGACATCATGTCCGCTACCAAACAGGACACTCAGCTTCTCAGACGGAAAACATCTACCTTCAGCTTCATGATGTCCTCGCAGTTCTCTCCCCCAAGAACCTTGGATGGATTATTATTTTCATCCACTTCGAACCACATAGTTTCTGAGAACTAAGGTGTAGTCCACCCCTAAAGGACTTAGGGAGACGTGTCTCTTGCCAAACAAAATCTACCCACAGTATTTAAATACTGGCATTTTTCAACCTAAAAAAATCTTAGCGCTGAGTTTCTCCCAAGCCAATAACCAAGCTATGTTAGGTGGCAATGTGGGAATAGGGGATGGAAAAGAAAAATTTCCAGGATGAAGAAATTTAGACTTTAAGATAGAAAAGAGGAACAAATGGGTCCTTATGGAAGTCCTGCTGGGGAATGAGGGAGATGAAGTTGGGCAGGAAAGGTTGAGGCCAGATGTGACAAAGGGGGTGCGAGGAGGCTTCATTCAGGATGAGGAAAGTGGATTTCATGCAGTAGCAATGGGGAGCTACTAGGTTCTTTTGGCATGAGAATGGATGTGCTTCAGAATGATTAATTTAAGGGATGGCGTGCAGGCCAAATGCAATAGAGGCTAAGGATCAGGCACACAATTACACCCCATTTAATTTGTACTTGGTGTTTTCCTATGACTTCTTCATCTCTTCAGCAAGCCATGATTGAGGGTCAAATTGATGAACAAAGAAAAAAGACATGTGCCTGGCTTACAACCTAATAGAAACAATGACAGGTACACAACTGTGATGCAAGGTAAAAATGTCACCAAGTGAGGTAGGTGCAGTGGTATGGGACTTCCAGGGAGGGAGGGAGGGAGAGAGGAAGGGAGGGAGAGAGAGAGAGATCGAGAGAGATAACATCCTGAGAGGAGTAATTAAGGAGGAAGGCTGCATTTAGAAAGGGCTACTGAACCTAAGGCCAGCTTGCACACACAGAATGCTGGGTAGGGGGTTAACACACAGACTGGGTGATATGAAGAAGACAGGCAGGCTGAGAAAATGGGAGAGGCTGAGCAGTCTAGTGCACAGTTTCTAAAAGGGTCCAGATAATTTGGCCTTAGTTGCAGTGGTGCTGGTGGAGAAGGTCACTGGGGTTCAGGGCGTTAGTGACAAAGTCAGGCGTGGATCAGCTCCATGGTTCTGTGTGATCAGCTCATTCACAAGAGGACAAAAATCACGGCTGAGTATAAATGGAGCATGACCCAGCCCCCAAAAGGAAAGGCTTGGGAAGAACTGGTTGCAAGACTGAGACTAGTAGGCTGGTGTTCAGAGAAGGGGTCTAATCACAAAGGGAAACCGAGGCAGAAACAGGTATAGCATTATCTGAGGCAGGTAGCACCAACAATCCCAGACCTTGCGCTGGTCGATTGGGGCTACTGACCAGGCTTCTAAGTCTAGTAGAGCCCAAGAAAGATATAGAGTCATCCTTTAGGTGGCAGTCACCACCTGGTATTGAGATGGTTGGACAAAGGCTAAGCCTGACCTGAGTCTTCAAAAGGAAACAGGCTTTGAGCCCACAGAAAGCACATTTATTCATTTAAGCACTGAGCACAGCTAAATGTCCGGCTCTCCCCTAGTTTTCTGTGGTGAGGACAAACGCTTTCCTTGTTCCTGTGTGTGTACCTGGTAATCTTGAGCAAAGTTAGACCAGAGAACATGGGTGGATATAGGAAATCGATTTGACATGTCAAGGGATACAGCTGAGAGAGTCAATGGAGCAAAGACTCGGAAGAACTTTGAATGCAAGGCTATGGGGCCTGGGATCGATCAGCCCATGTCACCTCCTCCAAGAACTTTCCCAAACATTCTTCTCCAGCCTAGTCTGGTGGTGGACAGGGGCTCCTCTTCTGGGTTTTCCAAGGCACCTTGGAAGCTCTATAATTTTCTGTTTGGTTTTCTGTTTCCTTCCCCAGACTATAAGCATCGTAGGAGGAAGGAACCATCCCTTCTTGTGGCTCGATCACAGGAAGCTCCTTTAGATAGTAATTGAGTCTTGCAGGCAATAAGAAAGCTACTTTACTATGTCCATAGCTCATCTTCTTCATTAGACCAGACACTCTTGAGAGCTAGACATCCTTGCTTAATAGTTCTAGGCAGTTCTCCCCAAGGCTTAGCGTAATGCCCTGAATACAGTGGGCACCCCATACATGTTGCCTGAAAGGCTTTGTGGAGGTAGAAGTTGATCTTCAATGTCCTAATTCTGCTTCCACTGACCCAGTTTGAGGGAGTGGGTCTTGAATTCCATGCCACCACCACCGAACACACATCTCTTCCTTCCAAGTTCTCACCAAACAAAGGCATTCCCCTACTCCGTCCCCACAACAGATAACCATCTATTAAAGCTTAATCTTAAGTCTTTAGCATTTAGAATAATGATAAGGCAGTAATAACACATTGTGCTAGGCACTATTCTGAGTTATTTGCATAGTATATGTGAACTCGCTTCAATCTCATAATAACCCTCCAAAGTAGGCAGTCATTGCCTCTGTCCCCACATGGGAAGGCAGACCACAGGGAGAGCAGCAGAACTGGTCCAGATGCCTGTCCCCAAGGTCCTAGTTACGTGCACTGCAGCTGCTTCTCCCAGAAAAGAGACCATGAGAGAACCAGTGAGCAACTGGGAACAGGCTTATTAGACCAGTGGTCCTCCAATTCTGCCACACACTAGAATCCTGATGTCCAGGGTGCACCAGAGACCTTAAATAAAAATTTTGGGGGTGAAGCCCTGTCAGTATTTTTTTTAACTCCCCAAGTGATTCTCAGATGCAGCCAAGTTTGAGAACCAGCGCTTCCTGCCCTTCCCACTAGAGTACGGACTATGGCCCAGGAGGATCCGCCTCACCTGGAAGCTGGTTAGAAATGCGGGATCTCAGGCCCCACCCCAGACCCGCTGATTCAGAATCTGCACTTTAATAAGATTTCCCCGTGTGATTCATGCGCATTAAAGTTTGAGAAGCACTGGTGTAGGGCTTAGATAGTTGAACTCTCATTAGTCCACTTGGGCTTCTGTTATTAGCATTAATTTAAGTCTTTAATAAGTAGATCTCAAAACTCCATCCAATAGCTCAGCATCAATCTGATTCATTGGTCCAAAAAAAATGACCTGAGGAAACTATGCCCTTTTACTTCCCACTGTGTGAGGAACTGAGGAAGAAAAGTTAGATTGCAAATGATGTTCAACAGAACCTAAGCTGAGTCCATTCCAGGAAAGGCAGAAGAATCGCTGCCTTCTGCCTTCTGAGTCAGACTGAAGGACATACAATCTCCGTTAGGTGCAGACCACACGTGGGCTCCCAAGCTGATTGATAAAGGAAGTCTTCCAGCCAGAGGTGGCCAAGCTTTCAGGACCTCAGCTGTTTCTTCATAGTGTGACTATTATAGACCCACAAATGACAACACCAATCCATTGATTGTTTCAATGGAGGTCTTGCTATTTTTCTTCATCTTTCTGACTCTAACAAGAAACACTGACCATTTTTTAGTTCTTTCATTTATTTGCCATTGCTTTTGAATGCCATTTGTTTCACCTTGTCTTCACCAAGTTCTTAAAGCTGCTTCACAGGGTGTGTATGAGTAAAAGTTTTGTAGGCAGTGGTAGTTTTCAAACCCTCATCCACTCTCTCTACCCTGTGACCATAGAATCTTGTCATTAAACCTGAGACCACTGTCAGTAAGACAGACTGGCTCGT